GGATTTTTTATAAATTTCAAAAAAAAATTGTGGGTCATTGATCGATCTCTATGTCATTTATTTATTTTTTTTAATACAACTTTTAAATGGTGTTAAACTATGATAGCAGATATCTACAAAGGGTATATAATTCGTGTAGAAACTTAATTGAAAAAAAAGAGAGGCGAAAGATATCAAAGGGTCATTCAAACTCATAAGTCAAAAGTAAACTGGCAACGCCATGGCAAAAAAACCCCAAAAAGACCAAAAGATAGACAACAGTTTAAAAACACGACACAGACAACTAAAGACTGAGCAACATGAAACCCAACAAAAACCTATAAATCTAGAGTTGTTCAGGATGAGAACAATACATAAATGTATTCCCATTAATATAGCTTTTGTCCTGAATATGCATGGTATACTTGCCATTAGGCGTTAAGACACCAAACAAAATCAACCACTTATACGTATAATTCTTGTCTTGAAAAAACTAATCAAATATAAGTGTTAACTGACAACCCCATTGGCCAAAAGACAAAACCAACTCTGAACCAGCCAATATTAAGAAAGACTGTTCACTTGGAAGAAACTTGAGTTCAATATTTTTAAACAGTAAGCAAACTATAAATTCGCTTATAATAATAACAAAAAATACTAAAGACGAGGGTTTTGATGAAAGAGAAAATAATGGGAAAAACAGAATAGTGGGCCAACAAAAATAAGGAATAGAAAAAAAATGGGCCAGAAAATTAAAGACTATGAACAATGGGATGCTATGGCATAAAGAAAAGAGAATACTGGACAAAAAAATTAAAGAATAGAGAAAAATGGTATGAAATAAAGAATACAGCAATGTAGACCCTCTCAAGATTGGTTATAGAAACGAGGATGAAATTTGAAAAATTAGGCAGGACAGGAGTTTTGAGTAAAAAAAGGCAGGATGAGCAACTTGGCAAAAAAAAAAAGGCAGCATAAACTAATAAAAAAAAGGCAGGACCAAATAGAGTGAAAAATAAAAAGGCAGGAGAGAGATTACAACTAAAAAAATATTTCATCCTAGCCCCCCCCCCCCCATAAAAATCAATTGTTAGCCCCCTCAAGTAAGAATCTTGTAATTCAGTTGTTGGCGTTGGTTGCTGTCTGTCATATTCGTTTTGTCAGAAATGTTTTTTTTTCTTTTGAATTCTTTTACATTTTGTCATGTCGTGGCCTTTCCTTTTTTTTCTTTCTTAGTATGGGGTTTGTTCATTGTTGAAGGCCATACGCTAACTTGCATGTATACATACTTGCTTACATCCATGTCATTTGGACTCAAGTGGATAGTTGTCTCATTATAATTCATACCGAATCTCCTTGTTTTTATATTCAAAGCTAACATAAGTACACAAAACAATGAAAGACTTTAAAACACTAGCTATAACAATATGGGTTAATGAAAACATTTTTTTTTGTGTCAATATTGAAACATTTCCTCAAGCATGCTGCATATATGACCCAATTAAAATGTTATTACCAAAAAACACGCCGTCTGCGACATGATTATGACGTAACTATAACCACAATCTGAATGAAAATACTATCGGTTGTTGTGCATTGTGTTACATAGCTGTACGTCCATATACATGGAAATGACGCTTTCATTTTCAAAATTTTGTATATTGTTTTGGGTTCGACTACAAGTATATGAATGTCTGTACATAACTCGTCATCCTTGTCAACTTCGTTATAATTTATTTAATTGTCAACTACTTTTTGTCACTTTTTGAATTACCGAAACTATTTCAGTGTAAAGTACATGTACGTACTAGTATATAGTATTGATTGTAAACACTGCAAATATTGGTCAAGAATGATCTACAGTAGCTAGATTATATCTGAATCACAAATTCATATCAACCGACCTAGGCTTCTTAAAAGTTTGTAGTGTTACAAAAAAAAAATTGAGGGAAAAATAATAAAATGAAGATAAAATAGGAACTGTGAAATTGCGTTGTGTTATAAAGATTCTTTGGATGTTACCTTCAGTTGTTTAGGAGGAGTTGTGGATACAACATGGTTACCCCCATTTATCATTTGAATAAAAGGAAAAGATGAGTATACGTGATTGAGACAGCAATCCAATGACAAAATATCACCTAAGGACTCTAAGAGGGGAACATACAGTCATTAAAAATATACAGGTGTCTATACAATCTCAAACTTTAAATCGTCCCGAAATAACAAATTATAAATTTGTGAATAAAAAACGAAGAACATTCAATAATCTGCAATTAACATCCAATTCTCCAAATAACAGAAACAAATTAAGATATGACATTCGACGACTACTGACGAGGTTCTTGACATATTTGATTTCTCTACCGTGTCCCCCCCCCCCAAAAAAAAAATGAGTTCATCAAATGAAACAGTAGACCACAATGCTATTACATGAAGGCATTGGAGATACTATTATGTTTAAAAGAAAATCTATTCTTTGGTTAAGAAGGAGCTATGGATCCAAAGTTACTAGCGAATGAACGGAAGAACAAACCAACGAACGTACGGACACAGTGATCGATATGTTACCACGCTTTGCTAGAAAGGATATAAATATGTAGCTCATCCCTTGTCTGTAAACCAATATTTATTAACGAATAACAAAACAATTTTGAAAATAACTAAATTTCTAGGAATACTACCGTAAAATCTGCCATGTAACATCGTGAAAACATTTGTATAGATGTATAGCCGAGGGTGTTTGTACTCTGTGTGGTGAATTATGTTGCAGATCATTTGCTTACGTCATATTCATGTCACAGATGGTCTGTGCTAGTGACAATTGAGCCTCTTAGAACGTGGACAATATCATTCGTAGGAATTTGATGATATGGGATTCTAACAAAGTATTGTTTTCAGAAAATATGTCATATGAAAATAAAATGATGTTGAATGAAAAAAATTGCCAAACTGGCATTATTACTAAGGTCGGAAATGAACATGTCATTTGAACTTTCGTGCATCTATGGATATACAAATATTTGATGCGTTGTATTCATATATATCATTCATTGTTTGTTTCCAAAATTATATTGTATAAGCATTTTGAGAAATAATACATAAAGCTGATAGCAGGAATCACCAAAAATATTGGATACAACAAACCAAACCAACCACCAAAATCCGACAACACCCCAAGATGGACGTACACACAAGACACACAACAACGAACAACAAATGGTCTAGAAAGCTCGACTTTGTAGAGGCATATAGTGTGTTGGGTTTGACCAAATTTACGCTTGCCTGAAACCTCATCCTTTGCTTACCTAGACCAAATGTCGCACAATTAAAACACGCAATAAAAAGATGCACATTCCAGTTACTAGCTAGATGTCTACACATTTGAAGAAAACAGTTAATGACGGGACAACATTTGCACGTAAAGGTGAACATTTCTCTAGCTGTGGACAGCAACAGATCTCAAATACACAAAAAAATGAAAACAACACATTATCAATTTGATGCGTCCGAAGCGCTTTTCTGGATTTACCTTCATAAGGAACTTTCAAAGCCGAATATTTGAAAGCAAAGGATGTACAAGAATCGAAGAATACAAAATACTACATTTTGAATATCTGCAGTGTCAATGGTGGAAGCCACTAAACTGAAGTGTATTTATGGTACGGTATGCTTGTATTACATGCATTGCATACCAAGAGTATCTTATTTTATCTGGAACAAAATGTTGCCCCTGTTAATGGTCCATTTTCTTTCTATATTTATCTTGGTCGAGCAAGCTACAAACCACGGACTTTCGATACTTTATATCATGTTCTTTAACTTGGTCGTGCATAATTGTGTATCATAATAGTTCTTAAAAACAAATAATTTGGGAACAAACATTTGGACAATAAATATATTTTATGTTTTATGCTCAGCAAAAAATGTGGTTTTCAATTATGTCAGTAAAGTTTTCCCCCAAAAAAGGGAAAATGAGAAGACTAAGATAAAATAGTGACAATAAAAATTTCAGTAAATATGAAAATAAAAAAATAAGGAGATGAGGTATGATTGCCAATGAGACAACAATCCACCAAAGTTCAAATAAAGTGGGTGTATTAAAGTTCATTCAGCTCCTTTTTTCCGCTTAATTTCACCTAAAAATTCATAAAAAAATGAGTTTTCTAACTTAACGTTATCAGTAAAGAATTTACTCACTGTGAAATAATTTTCCATATATCAAAAATAACCAAAATCAATGGGTTCTTGCTTTAATTGTTCCTCCTTTTTTTGTTTGAAATCTTGTTTTCTTCTTACTGCTTTTATTGGTATTTTTTAAATGATTGCTTTTTTGACATTCTTTGTTGCTTTTAAAACTATCAAGTCTTCAATTGTTTAGGTTTATATACATCATTGGCTTTCAAATATTCGACTTTCAGCGTTCCTGGTGAAGGTAAATCAAGAATAGCGCTACGGACACGTGAAATTTATAAAGTGATGTTTTCATTTTTTTTTTTTTATAATAATGCACAAGTTCTCTTTGTATTCTCTAAAGTTGACATTTTTTTGTAATACTGTTAACATCTTTGATTCTCGAATGTCAATTAAACCTAAAGATAAAACACCTTTTTAAACTAGCCACTACCAAGTACAATATGAGTTAAAAACTAGGAAAGCAATAGATGTGAATATACAGATAACATTATATCAAAAAGGGTCCAGATGGAATTGCCAAAAATCGTCTAAGATTAACTTCGACCGAAAAGTTTAAATCTTAATTTTTGCAACAATAACAGAATTAAATTTTATACCCGTGAAGAAGCATGTACAATGGCTACTTGACCACTCCATGATGTCACCATGAAACTAACAGGGCACCAGTGTGAATCAAACCGAATTTTTTGCAGCCGAAATATTTTCTGGACTTACCAGTAAAAGAAGACCAAGGAATCGGGGAAAAATCATACATTATATAAACTGGTCAACGAGTAGAAATTGTGTGAAATGAATATTCTTGAATAATGAAAAATGAAGTTGAAACGTAGTATTTTTTACACTTTACTTTTACGATCTGAAGACAAAAACATTCATCACTGAAACAACAATTATCATAACAATCTCAACATTATATACAAATAAAGAATGCTCACAGGGGGACATAAATGTCGGATTTATAAATAAAATAAACACATGCCCACAAACGCGTGTTGCAACGTCACTTTTTGTAGACTGCGCAATTTGAAATAGTCGGATTTTATAAATCAAATCATCTTTGGTATAAAAATCTCATTTGTAGATGAAATTTGTAGTCACATTTCAAAACTGTCATGGAAATAAAAATCACAATTTTCAACTAATGACTAGATTTGCGTTAAATCGGCGGGATGTAGTCCCATAGCATGAAGATACTGATGGTGTGTGTCCATTGGTGATGTAACAGTGTCCATAAGCCTCGTTTTCGTATTTGGCAATTTATGTTCCTTTTTCCATTTCATTCTTCTGTTCTGGAACCAAATTTTTATTTGTCTCTCTGATAAACACAAAGTATGTGCAATTTCTATTCGTCTTCGCCTCGTGAGGTATCTGTTAAAATGAAATTCCTTTTCCAATTCAAGCACCTGATGTCGGGTATATGCAGTTCTGTTCCGTTTAGAATCCGAAATTATATTGTCCCCTGTAAAAGAAAACAAATATTGTTTAATTTATAGCCAATAAAAAACGTTATAAGTTTTTTTTTCAGTTAAAACGAGTATAAATTCCATGAAGTGTGGCTCTAAATTGTCAAAACTGTCACATCTACATTGTACATATATTTTACACGGTCTTGCATGCATTGTCAGTTTTTTTTTAAATTTTTATTGGCCTTTTTTTTCTATGAAAAGGCTAACATCAAATTACTTTGTAGCAATGTATAGAGAATTTACTATATATGGTTGGCAGAAACATTTCAGATTATTTAATCGTAATCGCCATTTCATCGTCTGTCTAAATCAATCTTGAATAATTATGAAAATAACATTTTATTAATTTTATGCCTCCGAAGCGCATTTCTGGATTTATATATACCTTCATCAGGTCAACTCAAAGCCAAATATGTAATATGTACTGCTTTTCAGTATGTTCTTTTTTTGGCCGGGTCCGATTAGGTGGTGTTACATCTTACAAAGTATATTCAAATTTATTTTTTCAAAGAATTCCGCTCAGTCCGGTGCTAGAGGCCGTCTTAAACTTGCAGTTGCTCCGTGTTGAAGGCCTGTCTGTGACTTTGAGATGAAGAACAGCAATAAAAGCTCTGTTCCTTTGCTTATTATGTGATTTTTTTTTGTTGTGCATGTACTGATTTTGTTTTTTTGTTATAAGTACCGAAACACGTAAAGAGCTAGATGACCAAAAGGGATATTAAATTATAGCCCAATTCATCTACAGTCAACATTGCAAGAGGGAGTATTAATCTTCACTAAAATAACTCGCAGACTGAAGTTTCGGGCAGCCAAATATATATTACCGGCGAATTCAAAAGCAAACAGGGCTCTAAACGGAACATACAGAACGGTCTAGGGTCATCTTTGACAACGAACGTAAGTTCTTTAAATTTAGTATTGACGTGTGAAAAATAGAAAACACTGAAGCGTTTTAAACTGGAAGACGTTTGAAAGTCCATGAAGTGCAGCATGACGAAAACAATTATCAAATCCATCAACTGTAGGATATGAGATTTATACATGGGAATCGAGTGCACACCGCTTGCAGATTTTCTGATAAATGGTGATAAGAAAAAGCGAATGTTTATGTGCAAAAAATATATTCAAAGAAAACTAACAGGGTATACGTTTGATCGAGTTACTTACAAAAATAAATAAAATATTGTTTAAACATTAGTGATATTAAATAGACATCAAGATGGCGGACAAGTGCTAACGTCTGCTACAATCATCATTGTTTCCGATGTACTTTCTCCCTTGATGTTTTCAATTTATTATCTTCACGACAACCGCCATTTGTCAATATTAACTGTTATTCATGTTGATCAAAACAAAACTCAAAAAGTTTGATATTCTGCAGAAACTCCATCGATGTAATCTGCACGCAAATAAACCATTCATTTTCCGTTTCTATATATGCCATACTGTCAAGTCCTCAAGGATGAGAATTAATTCCATTATATATTCATAGCTTGAAAAGAGGTGCTAAAACGAGTTGGATATGTGTCCAAACGGGATTTATTTTCGACAAATATTTTCTGTATTGGGCGTCTTTCACGCGACGTCTTTGGTGGCAAATGTAAAACACTGACCGAGGCTTTACATTTTTTTTATTTTTAGAAAAAGTGGGGACGGTATTTAGGATCTTTTAACATAATTTCACTAACATTATATTTTGAAGGAACGAATGTATCTAAAGTAGGTGTGTAATTTTATATTTGCAAAGAATTTCGTTGTGTCATTTATTAAACTATACAGAAACATTTCTTAATTTTATTTTTCAAAAGTGTTTTAGCTGTGGAAAAGAATCATTTTTTAAAGACCTAGAATTGTTCATACTTTAAATATCTGAAAAAATGTATATGAAAATGAAGTTATTGTGTTCTAAATTGAGGAACTAATGCATAACTGATCTATTTGGGGTCCTATTAAAAATTTGGTTCTACACCAAATCTTAAGTAGAATCTTTTAAATGCATAGCTTGTCTCGTCTCGGTGGGTTTGGAGATTGAAATATGGTATAGCGACTTTCTAATTAGTTTAAAACAAATATATACACCAAAAGCTCACTAGACATTCTCAATTTCCAAGTTTACAAAAACTTTTTCAAAACAATTTTGCAAATAAAATCGTGCGAAATTTCCGGTAGCAGAAGTGGAAACATTAAAACAAACTGTATTCTTTGTGCCGCGAAAAGTATCAAATCCATCTCATTTGTTATGTTCACTTTATTTATCTCGAATTGCTATTAGCGTCATGATCCATAAATGCTTTAAATGGGAATTACATTCTCGGAAGGATAACTTAATGTGACAAAATCAGCCGTATCACGGTAAATTGAAAATCGATATTAGCCAATGAGACTACAAAGAAAGTTGTTATTGAAATGAAAATAATCTTGATTTTTTTATAAAGAAATAGTATAGATAACAATTTCAAGATTATTTGTAAGTTCTATCTTATGTAAAGTTTAACTTTACTGAAACTCATAATTTCGACAGTGGCCAGATAAGTCGTTTTTATGTAAATAATGACATCTCTAACGATTTTAAGGGCATAAAGGGGAACAAATAAATTAAAAGTAAACTGTGCCTCGAACTCATTAGTATTTGGTTTGTGTGATTGCAGCTGACCTTTTAACGAAATGAAACAAAGAGAAAAGGAAAAAGACCAAATGATACAAATAGATGTCTAGACCAGAATAAAGTGACAGTCTTTATTTCATCGCATTTAATATAAAAAATTAAAAAATAGAAAATAAAAAAGACTTTTAATAATTACAAACCAAAAAATGTTATGCCTGGTAAATTAAAACATTTTAAAGGTTTTAATGTCAAGCTGCAGCTGTTTAGGAGACAGGCATACAAAATAAAGTGTTTTGAAAAATGAGAAACTCATTAAAAAGTCATTATTTATGATGGAAACTCTGATATTTTTGTACATCATCGGTTGGTGATAAGACAAATAAAAGGCAGTTTTATTTAGAGTTTTTTATTATTTGTTCACATTTATTTTCTAACATTCTTGAAATGAAATTGATGTACTTCGTGTAATTTCCGAGCGAAAGATGTCAGAAATATGCTGAGAGAGGTAAACATATGTGAATATAGAATCGCTTTTTAAATAGATTTATAAAATAACAGTTCAATTTAGTATATGTAAAAAATTATACTAATGAAATAATGTAAATTTGACGCAACTATTTTTATACGCCAAATATAATTTATTTACAGTGCTCTGCATAGTTTTCAATTGAGACATACGTGCCCTTCGTTAACAGAAGTATTTTACAGCATATACTTAGAAATTTTTTCCAATGATATGTTTACAAATTTTCTTTGAAGTGATCAATTCTTTATATATTATATTTTTTCTATCGATTTACGAGATTTTTGAACATCGACAAACTACTGTCGCCTTATTTTATCATTAGATGTTGGAAATCAAAACTGCAATCAGACCGATTTGAGTTTCGTTTTTTGTAACAATCTTGTATATTATATACACATGTAAGTAGAACAACAACTTGCAAGAAAATTAGTTAAAGTAAAACACGCTTGTTTTATAATGTGTGACCATAATAAAAGGCAGGTGCACTTAAGTATCCAAAAAACATGATCTGGAATTGCTTGTAAATTTAAGTTGGAAGGGACTTCGCTAAGTTTAATAAGCGTCAAATAGTCAATCTCAGTGGTAATTATGTTGAAAAGAGACATCAACAGCAAAACATCAAGATTTTGAAGACTTTTTCAAATGCAGTCGAGTTGTCAATTTAATTTAGCGCATAGAGACAACCACTCAGCATTCCTATGTAGAACATCATCATTTTCAAGTGAAAGGAAAGGGTACAGCAATAAATATTTCTTTCTGTCTCAGTACTAAACCCAATTTTTACAAAAGCAAAAACTCGAAGAAAAAATCTCCACACATCTTCCATTACACCAAAACAACATTCTGATAAATGAAGAATTTAAACATTTTGAAATGTAACCTTTAGACTAGATGTTCTTTGTTTTGTCTTTTCGGCGTTTGGTTGTTGTCTAATTGGCGTTAACCCCACATCAACTTTAATTCATAATTTTGAAGAAATGTTTTGTTTTTATTCCTAAAAAAGGGACGATCCGAAATGTATGTGCTTTAAAATTAAAAACACAAAAACTTTAACCAAAAGAACCCTTGCTGGTCAAGGGTCAGCGAGTCTTTATATAGTATGATCAGTGGTGGTCAGTAACACGAATAATGATAGATGTTCGTTGTTGTTGTTGTGTCTGTAGGGTACATGTAAGTGTTATGTCAATATGGATACACAAAAGTAGGTCTTTTTCCATAAACAAACAATATATATATGTCACCACCTTCTAGGCATGTTTGATGTCTTATTAAAGGGTGTTGATTGTTTCTGTGTTCTGTAACGTTTTGCGGTACAATAGACGTTGTAAATTAATTGAAAAGAATCATGGCACATTCTGATCATGGATGTAAGCATCGGCGACTTATTAAGGTAGTCGTGTACATCAATCAGATGTTAAAAAATAGTTTTGGATTGCAATAGTATAATGAAATGTAACATAGAAAAAAATCCATATATGCGATCTTCACATTAAGATGCATACATAAACACGAATCTTAAAATTTAAGAAAAAAATGCATACATCTGAAATTGTTCGATCGTTCATACATTGATACAAAGAATCTGAAAAGTTATTTGTGTGTTTCGGTAAAAAAAATGGCGCCATGTAACAGTCCACTGTTATCAATTTTTGCAATTAAATTTTGCTGATCTGCATCATCTAAAGCACACAAAAGAGGATTACACAGGCTTGTGTTTTCAATTTTCTGTGACATTGTTTTCTCATTACTTTGTCAATAGGATCCGCAAAGTTACATCATAATAGAATCCTCTTCAAAATGCGGTTAACCAATTTAAGTGTACAACACGCAACGGAACAACTAACATCCGGTTATCACAAGTTACTGTGCGTTGTCACATTTCAAAGCAAAAGAAATGAATTGGTCACTGCATATATAAATCAATTTCCAAAATTTCTAGGTCGCAAGTAAAATTGTGTTTTTCATATTTCAAAGCGAACATATTTGGTTTTCTTTTGTGTTTATTGCAGATAGTGGTTTAGGTGTTATTACTTGGAAACTTCTTTCAAACAAGTGTCAAGATTGTTTTAAGATAAGACTATTCATTTAAAACATTGTTAAAAGAAACAAATACCAAACGTGTTGGCTACTGAATCCACAGCCGACTTACTATAATAAAATTGTACAAAAATACAAATTGTGACTGTTTGCTACTTTGCTAATTTATATACATATTTAGCAAGGTCCAAGTTTCCTTTTTGTTCTCCCATCTCTTACTTTTTCAATGATTTTAATAATGAAATTTAAACAGGCTTTGCATTACATTGATAATTTTCAAGATGTATTTAAAACTGTTTTTACTTTTTACTTAAAAACTATCAAATTCTTATGGTTTATCCGGGGACTATTATACTAACTTAGTCCCAGATTTATCTTGCATTATAACAAGTACGAAAAGAATGGGGACTATAGTTTCAATGGTGTGTTATTTTGTGTTTATTTCCTCCAATTTTCTTCACATATTAAAACCACTTTTGTCTATATTTCAGTGAAAATGTTTCAAATATTCCCTTTTAATATAAACTTTGAAAAGCTAACCTTGGCTGAGAAAATTTCAATATGAATAGAGTCATCGTCTCCTGACATTTGGTATAATTATATTGGCGCATGAGAAATGATTCCTGACCTTTTTGGGAATATGTGAAAGCACATTTCATCTCTCATGCTTTAATCAAATTAATGACGACAAAAAGTTCATTTGATGAAGTGAGCCAATATTCGGAAAATTTTATGTATAATTATTATAATTATATAGATACAACCATATCGAAGCATATGACATATTCAGAAGAAAGGAAAATGCATATTTTATCAAATTTTCTTGATACTGATTAATATAGCTTGGTTTCAAATTTACAGGAAAAGCAGTAATATTTGAAAAATAATTGATCAAATTTTCATTGCATGTTTCAACTTATAATTTGTATTATCAATATGCATATTCGGTCTAACGAACTCATAGATAAAATTTGATTTATTTAATACAGTTATCGTCCACCCTTTAAATTAATGTTAAAAAACGAAACAAATCCAGCGTGGATGTTTAGAAAGCGACATTAAATTGACGCCATTGATTTAAACACTTTCCTACAGGTCTTAAGAAAAGTTTTAAATATAAAGGATGTATGGAAAATTACGGTCATAAACAAAATTTTGTATTGAAAGAAGACAATCCTTTGACAAAAGAAATAGGATTAAGTGACATCTACCTTATTGTCACAAATAAAAAAATGCCACAATTTGACATAGTTTATCACTTTTCATATACATTTATTTTTCCTGTTTGACACAGATCGGATTTGTTGGCGGAAGAAAAAAAATAGTTATCCGATAGCCACTACAATTGGGCCCTATATAGCATACATATTTCTGTTTAATTGAAGAAGACATTTTCTAAATATGCTTCAAATGCCATATACAAGATTGACTGGGTTAAGGGGTAAACATTTTGTTTTGTTTTAATTTCATTTTCTAGTTAAAACATTTGAAATAGCAAGAACACAAATATTTACAAATCTATTGGTATTTTAATTTAATTAAGCTAGGTATTTTTGTTCGTACAAAAAATAATTAATAGAAAATGTATGTAACCTTTATCGTTATGTTTTAAGTCTTAAACCATGCATGTGCATATTTCATCTTGTACGTTTCCCAGAATTTTCTAAAATAGATACGGCCACGTGTTTTTATTTTTTTCTTCTAAAAGTACAGATATATGTATGCAAAATAAAGGTATGCCGTACCAACTGGGCAGGTTGAAAGCAGTTCAGTGATAAATACTATAAATTTAATCGTATCTTGGGTTCTTTACTCAATGGGTTTTCTTAAAGAAAAGTCATCAATCACAGAAATCTACCTAATTTACATATCTTATGATGTGTATCACATGACAAAGAATTCAAAAACTCTGTTGTTTATTTACATATGCGATTGTAAATTTCAATAAAAAATTGTAATAAAAAATTTAAATATGAATGTTTTCGAACGGTCACAGCGACAAGAGAATATTAAATTTAAATTTTATCTCTCCTAATGACAATATGAAATAGTAAAAGTACAAGGATTTATTTTCAATAAAAATATTTGTAGTAAATGAGAAACTGTGTGAAGACTTTATAATATGACCGAATAAAAATACCTAGTAATGAAACCGTTTTTATTGAGGATAACTGATATGTAAAACATTTTAAATATTTTCACAAAATTGGACCAACTGTGACAAAAAAAAAAAAAATATTTATTTGTTAATGTCTGACAGTTTAAAAAATAGAATTATGATAACGATCTACAATTTTTAAGATATGCTTGAATAATATTAAATTATTCATACAACTTAATACACAAGTATATTAAAGTGTACTGTAATTTCTTCGGGGTGTACAAATATACTTAATTGATATTAACAATTCAGAAGCGCTAAAGATAGCACTACTAATGTTATCAACAACGAATAAACGACAATATAGCTGATTTATGACCCTATTAAGAATAATATAATTATTGGTCATCATTTGTGAAAGGTGAGAAGGGATACGGTCATTAATATTAAAGGGTAATTTGTAGCCCTTTTACCCGGATAATATATGAATTATTACTTCTACACGTGCCCTGATGGGTCAAAAAGGTCTTTGTGGTATTGCATACATACACATTTAAAAATGTTATAATCTCTTTGAGGCGAGACGTATCTCCAAAGAATATGTTTTTGCACACTATAACTAATTAATATTATTTGGAGTTCGTGTACTTTAATATTTTTAACATTTTCACAAATAACAGAAAACAACTTAGAAAGTCTAATTCTTGTCTGTTTAAATTACTTAACCACACTCATGTTTTAACCGATGTTGACGTACATAAAAAAAATAACATAGCAACACTTTCATTCTGTTCATGTGTACAATACATCACAGCTTTGTTTGTGTTTTTTAACGTACGCTTGTTTTTACACATTATATATGAAAGCAACTCCCTCTATCTGATATATGTGAAATATGTGTATTAAAAGAAAATAAAATAAATAATATATAGACATTTCATAAAATGAATTCAACAAAATCTTTTCATTTAAATGTGCACAGTAACAGTTTCGTGTTACCCCTCTACAAAACCAAGGATTTAAAGACTATCATATTACAATATCATGTCTGTTTCTAATGAAATGTACATACCTGGGTTATTTCCTTGACTTTTCCTCATCCATGGATAAATTACTGGCTGTCCGTCCGAATTTGTCTGAGCACACGCACTTTTAGGAGATGAATCCTCATCAGATGACGTTACAGACGGAGGACTAGGAGATGAAGAGACTTGAGCAGGCTGTGCAGCCGGTGTAAAACCGTTACTTAGAGCTGTTGTAGTCCCCCGTCCATATCCTTGAGAAGGTGGAGAAGCCCGAGCGGCTGAAACTGTCTCTGGAGGTGTCGGACACGGAATATAATTGTGTGGTGTATATTTGTCCTCACTGTAACGTCTATGATCACCGTATCCATAGGAATTTTGGTAATTTTGTCTGTAGTAATCAGTAGCATTATTTGGTATATAATTTGACTGAGAATATTCGTCCGTCGGAGGAAATTTCGGCTCCGTATATGAATTAGGGTTCATCAAAAACGAACTCATGATCATTAATTTTGACAATATTGGTTGTAAATAATTCCAACTCGTTACGAACACATATTAAAGTCATCTTCGCCCTCCCATTTTCTATAGTCTAAAGTCACGTGGTTTTGGATAGCCAATGAAGTCAATATTCCCGCCTGTACTGATATGAATCAAAATTTGACGGGAGAAAGTTACTGTCTGTTAAAAAAAGCTTCCGGGCAAAATATAACTATTGAATTATGTTTTATCTATAATGATACACTTTTATCGTTATACCTTTTGTTACAAGGTAAAGAAGCGTGTAACGAGTTTTCAATATTTTCTTTGTATTCTTAAATATGCTAATTCTTTTAGAAAAACAAGAAAAACGACGAAACGGCGATAGATCAAAGAGAATTAAAGACTGACTGCTATTGAAGACTTGCAGAACTTGGCGTATGCTTGAAAACAAGGGGAAATTTCTAATTAATAAGAACAATCGTTTCTTATTACGATTATTAAAAAAAAAATAATAATTTAAATTTTTCATAATTTTGCATTTTGCTTAGACGGGAAAATTGAATAATAAAGTTTTAGCAATTTTCCCGTCTAAGTAGATTTATTTTTTTAGTTAATAATTTATTTGATAAGATAAATGTTATTGTCTAAATTATACAAATACAAATTAATCAATTAAATTACCACGTAATTTGTATAAATCCTGCCTTTTTTCCTCTGAATAATTGATTAATTCCCGTTTTATATCAAATTGAAACTATATAGTTTTCAAACCACTGAACCTAACAAATTAATTTCAATTTGACAGTTTTCATGGTAACTCGAATTACAAAAGAAAAATATCAATTTTTGAAATAGATAACTTTGTATATTGATGATTTATTTTCAATTTAACAAAAAGGTTTTCATATGAAAATTCCTTAAAAAAAGTACCGTTCAATAAAATAAAATATTATAATGTCAGTATATATATAAACGCAATTACAAATCGCAAAATTCTCAAAAAGAAAATTGAAAAAAGAAATAGTTTCCATGTTGTCAATTTCAATATAAATCAATTTTAAGTGATTTTAAAGATTTCTTCACACTGATGTTAACATAGATAAGATAATATAATTATTACCTATAAACAGCTACGAAATAAGATAAATTGAAGTTTAACACGTTATCTTAAATCTTTTCAATTTTTCATATTTAAGGAGTTAAAACTAAGCTATTTATAACTAGGTTATGATATCTTCTTTTATATATTCTTATAATATGGAGATAGATAAGTAACGGTTTTCATATTTTATAATCATTCAAAATTTAGTTTTTTACCAAAAATATACACAACAAGGAATTTTAATTTTTATACATATGAATGCATACTACGAAAAACTATGGTAGGATTTTTTTTAATTCGGAATCAAATTTTATTATTTATATAATGTATTATTATTTTATTTATCATCGGAACAATAAATATTATATGGAAAGGTTATTTTTCTAGTATCGCAAATAATATTAATTTGTGCACCCTCTCACAGAGTTAAGGCCAATTTCTTTTTAAGCAGACTTTCTTTCTCCAAAACAGTTTACTAAGGATAGGAGAAAAAGTTTCCTAAAATGAGAACTGTTGCAAACCTTTGTAAAATTATTATGAGGATTGTGGAAGAACATTTACAGAAACGCACCATTCATTGTACGTAGGGCCAGAGTTCTAATATATGCTATACATGTATCTACTTTATATCCAGACAAGCTGGTGGATAGTTGTCTCACTGGCAATCATATAATATCTCCTTATTTTTATATTAAAAGCTTAACATCATTATTCCGAACAAACAGCCTTATTAAAAAAAATGAAGCCAGAATCAGATGCCTTATTCATGCACTGGACTATAGTACTTGGGTACAATCAATAGGAATAAAACAGATATTAATCTTGACCTTTGTTTCCGTGTCCACAGAGAAAAGAAGGCAATTTAGAAATGTAAATAAACTAAAAATCTTCGTTTCTCATTTGTACGTTGAACTTTGGTCTCAGGACAAGAGGGACGGACGGACGGGTCAGCACAGTTCAAGGTAGGTATATACATCTTGATTCATATATACGCATATGGTGTTATAGGGGTTTCAACTCTTTACTCGAATAAGTGCTTAAATTCACCCAATAATATATAATTAAGACTGGAAAGCATTTTTATCTTATAAAAAATCCCGTGTTCATAAACGCACCAGTGTTTTAGGAACTTAGGTTCGAAAACTGTACAGAGTTTTCAACCTATATTCGCAACACAAGTGCATGACTCGTTTGAGAAATAATTTAAAATAAGTAAAAGAGTTTTCGTAATACACCACAGTTCATAACCACTCTTAAGAGTATTATGAACCTAGGTTCGAAAAACTGCACAAAGTTTTCAACCTATATCCACAACACCAGTTTCATTACTACAATGCTAAATAATTTGAAATAAATCGTTTAAAATATAATAAAAAAGTCTGGCATACGTTCGTGTGCGCAAATTGATTGTAAAACTATTGTACTCATCCTCCACCTCCCGCGACCACATTCAATTAAACACTATCTGTTTTGACTGAAAAATACATAATTTTGTACCTTTAAATAAAATTTATCATAAATTTCATTTGTAACAGTAAATTTAGTTTTTCGTTTGCTCAAAATGTGCACATTCCTCCCAAGAAAATCCTTAAAATTATATATGAATAGTATAAAAGAAATTAGAAAGGCCTATTGACGAAATTCTAAAAAACTAAGTTTCTCTACAAATGAAATATACAAAGACATGATTATTTTAATGTTAACTTCTAAAATTTTGCGATCGGTATATTATATTATGATGACACTTCATTTTGCAAGAATAAAAAGAAGGAATTTATATCAATTTAAAACTCGAAATCTTTATTGTTTCAATCGTTTTTAACTAACGACAGCGTTAAATTGTGAAATTACTCCGATCTGTATCTGGAAGAATCAAATGTAATATCTGAGTTTGCTACATTACACATATATACTATAATATTTTCTATTTATGTGTTAAAGTAAATTAATCTCAGGTCATATACAAAAAAATGTATGGCTGGAGATTGCGCTATTAATTTCATTTTAAAACTAATTGCCCTTCGAACCTAAGACACGACGAAAAATGTAACCACCATGTAAAAATTCAAGAATCTAACCATTACAAAAAAAAAAACAAATGGTACAAAATGGAAATTTATTTTGTTCAAAATTTCAGCGCCGTTAATTCTTTATTCTTAATTGTAGAGAATGATGCGTGATTCATTCCCATGCACTCATTTGTACCACTGGCTAACTAATTTAATTTACTCATTTTTACTCAAACTAACCAAACATTTTAGGCAGGTTTTATCAGATCAAATGGATAGCCGACTATACGGTATGGTTTTTTTCATTGTTGAAGGCCGTACGGTTGCCTGTAATTGCTTACATCCACTTTTATTTGAACTAGGGTGGATAGTTTTCTCATTGACAGTCATACCACATCTTCTTATTTTTATATGTATTTTGATTTTTAAGTTTTCTTCATATATAGTTTTATTTCACTTTTAATATAGACAACTTTTTCTTATACGAAACATTATAAGAATTTAATGAATGAATGAATATACATAATTCCAGTAAAGGACATTTTCTATTTGCGTTAAATAATTGACCAGTTTCTCTTTTGACAAGAGGAATTATTAATTTTCGTAAGAAAATATTGAAAAAATATGCTTTACTTAACTGAGGCGACAAATACTGTTGATGATAGTTGGAATATATTCCTCATAATTAGCAATAATATATAAATATTGATTTTTTTATATGCTTGTAGTTTCGCATTTAAGTTATTCCTTATTTTTAAACAATGCCATTCAATCAGCGAAATTATATACGACAACGGGATTGAAGATGCTGATGATGCTCACGATCTGAAAAGTAAATTCCGCAATGAATGTAAGAAACAGTTACTTTTATAAATTTTGACTTAGATGGAGAGTTGTTTCATTGGCACTCAAACCACATCGTTTTATATCTACTTCTCTGAAATTGTTTCTCATAATACTGACTTTATGAGTTTCACTCACAAAAAAGGCTACAGTATAAACTCAACTAATCAATTTTAAAAGTTACAAAGTATAGGTTCCTTTTTAAAACGGTCAATGGAACTGAGGACAAGGGACCCTTGATATTAACTGAATGTCATAAAATTTGAGGTATATATGCTGTTATTTGTATTTTTGTTTGTCAGAAGCTGTATTTTATATGCTTTACGACAATAAAAATGATTATTATCAATATACAGAAATTTTGACTTGGATGGAGAGTTGTCTCATTGGCACTGATACCACATCTTCTTATATCTAGGAAATCCAAAAGAAGCTGTCAAAATTTAAAAAACATATACTATATTTCATTATCAAGTCAGGTTAAAGTGTACGACAATCATGATTAAAAATTCCCTAGTATAACTGAAAAATGAAATACAGATATTTCAACATATATATATATATATATATATATATGTTGTTTTTCAAATTTATTCTATGAATACCAATACACATTATTATCAATAAACAAGATTATCAACAAACATGATTAACAAATTAATATTGATAGTCTTAAAGAAAATTGGCTAACCAAGAGAAAAAAAATAATTGTACTGATTGAATCTACGGACTGTGATGCTATGCAAATTGTGCACATGTGCATACAATCCAGATGCAAGGATGAAAAATGAATTGTCAAATATTTTGAAGAAAAGATAATTGGATGATTTACAGTCCCTCCTGCTACCGACAAACAGAATTCGATGAATATTTACCGTAGAGTTATTCCGGACCTTTGACCGAATCTCTCATTGCCAGGGAGGGCTCTTTAGACACTTGTGTTATTAATCGTGGCTATTTTTCATCCTATCTTTCTTCAAAGATTTAAAACACCGCTTCATGAGCAATTAGATGCCCATTGAGACTTCTAAGCTTCAGTTCTATACAGGAAAGCGATGGATATTAATGGTCCTATTCTGAATAAAGTATGTGTGTTTAAAGAAGTTACAACCCATTCAATTAAACATTTTATCACCTGTGAAATTGTGGTTTAAT